CTCTACCGTGAAATTTTGACGATAACAAAGCGACATACGTGTGACCTTCGTAATTGGGAGGCGGTCGCCTGCGCATGAGCGTCTTTGAGTTGGTGAGTACATAATAGCGGTGGAAGTCAACAGGAATGTTATCCCTACGTTGTGTGTGATTCATTGCGTTTGTATTTGCTGTTTCTGCACTTCTGAGCACTACAAGATGTGCTTGTTGCGCGGAAACATGCAAATAATATCCCTAGCATGTTGCTAAGATCGCCAGCATCCCATTTTTAGAAGCAGCCTCCTAAGGAAGTATGAGCTAACACCCTTAGGATATTAGCTCCAGAACGGTCTGATACACACCCTTAAGTGTGTAAAATGTTTTAGTGTGTATATACTCCCGGTCGTGAAATGAAAATTCCGCTCGCCACTTGTAGTAAAAAAAAAAAAAAAAAAAAAAAAAAAAACGCCCATTGCGGGTTTTTTGGACGCCATTTAAAGGCAGAGCAACTTCTCATTATCTAAACCAAGGGTTGCCGAGCCCCGGCCCGCAGAGGCCTTCCGACCGGCCCGCAGCTTTCCCCCGCGGTCGTTCCGGTGACTCCTTGACCACGGTCCGCTCCCAGCAGGCCCACTGCTACCAGCATAAAAATTAAACGCGTGTAAAAGAAACAGCGCCATACACGCGCACGAAGATAGCAGAAAAAACGAGAAATATTTATTTCGTTTCCTTTTTCTTCTTTACTTTACACTTTTATATTTATATTCCGACCCTCGGGACTGCGACAACCCCCAATCGAGCCCCTTAGCTAAAAACGTTGTGAGAACTCGGGCCTGGCCTAGCCTCTCGAAGTATTCTAAATATGCACCCCGCCACCATCTCTTGGTGCTTGCAGAAGGTGTTTCCTAGCCATTTTGGTGGTGGATAAACGTTTAAGAGCGCAGCTCTTAGGCGCCCGTTTCCGGCTTGAGCGGCGTCGCCGTCGGCGTAACCGCGCGGTGCATTATGGGTAAATTTCCCCGCTAAATCTAGCGGAAAATATTTCCCCGCTAAATCTAGCGGAAAAACTTCCCCGCTAAATCTAGCGGAAAAAATTTCCCCGCTAAATGTAGCGGAAAATATTTCCCGCTAAATCTCGCGGAAAAAATTTCCCCGCTAAATCTAGCGCTAAAAATCCAGCGGAAAAATTTTCCCCGCTAAATCTAGCCGAAAAAATTTCCCCGCTAGATCTAGCGGAAAAAATATCCCTGCTAAATCTAGCGGAAAAATTTCCCCGTCAAATCTAGCAGAAAAAATTTCCCCGCTAAATCTAGCGGAAAACATTTCCCCGCTAAATCTAGCGGAAAACTTTCGCCGCTAAATCTAGCGGAAAAAATTTCCCCGCTAAATCTAGCGGAAAATATTTCCCCGCTAAATCTAGCGGAAAAATTTCCCCGCTAAATCTAGCGGAAAAAACTTCCCCGCTAAATCTAGCGGAAAAAATTTCCCGCTAAATCTCGCGGAAAAAATTTCCCCGCTAAATCCAGCGGAAAAATTTTCCCCGCTAAATCTAGCCGAAAAAATTTCCCCGCTAGATCTAGCGGAAAAAATTTCCCCGCTAAATCTAGCGGAAAAATTTCCCCGTCAAATCTAGCGGAAAAAATTTCCCCGCTAAACCTAGCGGAACAATTTCTCCGCTAAATCTAGCGGAAAAAATTTCTCCGCTAAATCTAGCGGAAAACATTTCCCCGCTAAATCTAGCGGAAAACTTTCCCCGCTAAATCTAGCGGAAAAAATTTCCCCGCTAAATCTAGCGGAAAAAATGAAAGCCGCTTACAACTCCCTGTAACGCCGAATTAGAGCGCAGCTTTTGAGGAGGAGGAGGGAAGGGCACTGGGGGGGGTTAAACTAACCAGGGGGGGTCACGTGACCTTCGGGGTCACGTGACTCCCAATGCCGATGATGTCATCACTGACATCCCTGATGACGTCATCAGTGACGATGACGATGCGAATACCGATGACGTCATTAGTGACGTCACTGATGACTTCACCAGTGATGATGACGATGACGATGCGAATGTCGGTGACGTCATCAGTGACGTCGCTGATGACGTCATCAGTAGTGATGACGATGACGATGCGGATGCCGGTGACGACATCAGTGACGTCACTGATGACGTCATCAGTGATGATGACGATGACAATGCGGATGTCGGTAACGTCATCAGTGATGATGACGATGACGATGAGGATGACGGTGACATCATCAGTGATGATGACGATGACGATGTGGATGCCGGTGACGTCATCAGTGATGATGACGATGACGATGTGGATGCCGGTGACGTCATCAGTGATGATGACGATGACGATGTGGATGCCGGTGACATCATCAGTGATGACGATGACGATGTGGATGCCGGTGACGTCATCAGTGATGATGACGATGACGATGCGGATGCCGGTGACGTCATCAGTGATGATGACGATGACGATGTGGATGCCGGTGACGTCATCAGTGATGATGACGATGACGATGCGGATGCCGGTGACGTCATCAGTGATGATGACGATGACGATGTGGATGCCGGTGACGTCATCAGTGATGATGACGATGACGATGTGGATGCCGGTGACGTCATCAGTGATGATGACGATGACGATGTGGATGCCGGTGACGTCATCAGTGACGATGACGTCATCGGGGGGTCACGCGACATCGGCGGGGGTCACGTGACCTCGAGGAGGGAGTCACGTGACCTCAAGGAGGGGGTCACGTGACCTCAGGGGAGTCACGTGACTTCGGGGGGTCACATGACCTCAGGGGAGTCACGTGACTTCGGGGGGTCACGTGACCTCGGGGGGTCACGTGACCCCCCACGAGGTCACGTGACCCCGGTGGGGGGCTCGCGCGGTGCATTATGGGACATTTCCCATGATGCACCGCGCGGTTACGCCGACGGCGACGCCGCTCAAGCCGGAAACGGGCCCCTAAGAGCTGCGCTCTAAAAAAAGTGAAAGCCGCTTACAACTCCCTGTAACGCCGAATTGGAGCGCAGCTCTTGAGGAGGAGGAGGGAAGGGCGCTGGGGGGGGGCGGGTTAGACTAACCAGGGGGGGGTTACGTGACCTTGGGGGTCACCTGACCCCCAATGCCGATGATGTCATCACTGACGTCACTGATGACGTCATTAGTGACGTCACTGATGACTTCACCAGTGATGATGACGATGACGATGCGAATGTCGGTGACGTCATCAGTGACGTCGCTGACGACGTCATCAGTGATGATGACGATGACGATGCGGATGCCGGTAACGACATCAATGACGTCACTGATTTCGTCATCAGTGATGATGACGATGACGATGCGGATGTCGGTAACGTCACCGGCATCCACATCGTCATCGTCATCATCACTGATGACGTCACCGGCATCCACATCGTCATCGTCATCATCACTGATAACGTCACCGGCATCCACATCGTCATCATCACTGATGACGTCACCGGCATCCGCATCGTCATCGTCATCATCACTGATGACGTCATCACTGATGACGTCACCGGCATCCACATCGTCATCATCACTGATGACGTCACCGGCATCCACATCGTCATCGTCACTGATGACGTCATCATCATTGATGTCATCATCACTGATGACGTCACCGTCATCCACATCGTCATCGTCATCATCACTGATGACGTCACCAGCATCCACATCGTCATCGTCATCATCACTTATAACGTCACCGGCATCCGTATCGTCATCGTCATCACTGATGATGACGATGACGATGTGGATGCCGGTGACGTCATCAGTGTCGATGATGTCATCGGGGGGTCACGCGACATCGGCGGGGGTCACGTGACCTCGGGGGGTCACGTGACCTCGAGGAGGGGGTCACGTGACCTCAGGGGAGTCACGTGACCTCGAGGAGGGGGTCACGTGACCTCAGGGGAGTCACGTGACCGGGGGGTCACGTGACCTCGGGGGGGGTCACGTGCCTCCCCACGAAGTCACGTGACCCCGGTGGGGGGCTCGCGCGGTGCATTATGGGATATTTCCCATGATGCACCGCGCGGTTACGCCGACGGGGACGGCGACGGCGACGGCGACGGCGCTCAAGCCGGAAACGGGCCCCTAAGAGCTGCGCTCTAAAATGTTGGTCACGTGACCCGTGACCTGGGGAGTCACGTGACACCCCGAGGTCACGTGACCCCCTCCTGAGGTCACGTGACCTCTGAAGGGGCACGTGTTTGTCCCCACGTGACCCCACCAAGGTCACGTGCCCTCGGGGGGGTCACGTGACCCCCCCCCCGAGAACACGTGGCCCTCAGTACCCTCCACTCCTCCTCCTCAAGAGTTGCGCTCCAATTCGGCGTTACAGGGAGTGGTAAACGACTTTCACTTTTTCTTTCTTTTTTTTTATTTATGAGAGGGTTATGTCAATGCCTCTTGATAAATATAATCTAGCCTTCCTAGCTAGTTTCCACAGCCGGTGGGGTTGTGGCGACATCCTGTGGTGACGTTGCAAACTTTGAATACTCCAAACGCTCCAAATCGTCCAAATCAGCGCGCGTACCAAGGCACTAATGTTAGCGCATTAAAAGAAATAATAATGAGGAAGAAACCGGCATTGACACCTTTGCTGTTCAGCTGTGACCGTCTCCGAGTCCTGATAATGACATGCTACAGGGGAGTCCATATCACATGAGCGAATGACGTTTTAGTGAACAGCGACATTCGAGCCAATCGACGTTTTAGCGAATACCGGGGGCGCGCGTTTACCCATACCCGCGTTGCGCTTACGCCGCTTCGCCGGCGACAGTCTGCGGCGGCTCATTACAAAAATGTGAACCCACCTGGCCCACCCAAAAACGCCGCTGTGCAGCGTCCGACTATTCGCTAAAGTGTCATTCGGTGAAACGTGGGCGTTCGCTAAAAACGCCATTCGATCAAGTAAGTGCCTCCCGCCACAACGAAACCAGGGAAATGAGCAGTGGTATAGCTCCCCGACGGGCTGGTGCACTTCGCAGGGTGAATTTGCAAGTCGGCCTAGACCCGTGATTGTGGTGGTGGCCAACAAGCAGTACAAGCTGCCTCTCGAGTTCGACTGGCTCAAGAAGGTTCCCTCCGAGGACGAGCGAAGCGCCGAGATGGAGGCCAGCCGACAGGTGAGCCCGGGAAACCCAGCATTCTAAACCTCGGGCTGTTTCTCGGGAAAACCTGAACAGACAAGAATCAGATCATAGAGGGCAAGACAGCAGTTGCCTTCGTAGTTCGGCACACCACCCCCAAAAGTGGAACAGTGTGGCTCATCAAAAACATGAAGTTCGAACAAATGCGACCTACCCGCGGAATGTCGAGTGATCGTAACAAAGTCGGACGCGAAACTACTCGTCTTACCTTATCGCCGGAGTTCTAGAACTTCGGAATTAAAAATAGCGCGAAAAGACGAGGACCAGACAAAAAAGTGACAGGGACGTAGCGCAATCGAGACCGAGACACGAAAACATTACGTGTCTCGGTTGGTTCGTGGGCGTCTAATTTCGTTAAATGTCTCACGGGTACACAAGTTTCCACGTGGCCGTCAGGTAGGGCCTCGTAACTTTCGCCATACATGGAAGCCAAATTGAACGACGTGCGGTGCTTTTTTTTTTTTTTTTTGAGCTGTATGGTCCAAATAGCACACACCGATCTATCTCTCGGCCGGTTTTCGACATACCTTTTCCGATTTTCCGCTGAGAAAAACTTAAAAGGACGTACTGCTTATTCTTGCTCATTGAAGCATGTACAAGAAGCCGGCCAACCGAAAGTTTTCTCGGCCACAGTTACCTAGACCACCAGATAGGAGATGGTCCAAATAGCACACACCGATCTATCTTGCGGCCGGTTTTCGACATACCTTTTCCGATTTTCCGCTGAGAAAAACTTAAAAGGACGCACTGCTTATTCTTGCTCATTGAAGCATGTACAAGAAGCCGGCCAACCGAAAGTTATCTCGGCCACAGTTACCTAGGCCGCCCGATATGAGATGGTCCAGATAGCACACACCGATCTATCTTGCGGCCGGTTTTCGACCTTTTTCAGCTTTCGGCCGAGAAAAACTTAAAAGGACGCACTGCTTATTCTTGCTTATTGAAGCATGTACAAGAAGCTGGCCAACCGCAAGGTATCTCGGCCACAGTTACCTAAGCCGTCCAATATGATATGATCCAGATAGCACACACCGATCTATCTTGCGGCCGGTTTTCGACCTTTTCCAATTTTTCGCCGAGAAAAACTTAAAAGGACGCACTGCTTATTCTTGCTCATTGAAGCATGTACAAGAAGCTGGCCAACCGAAAGTTATCTCGGCCACAGTTACCTAGACCACCAGATAGGAGATGGTCCAAATAGCACACACCGATCTATCTTGCGGCCGGTTTCCGACATACCTTTTCCGATTTTCCGCTGAAAAAAAACTTAAAAGGATGCACTGTTTATTCTTGCTCATTGAAGCATGTACAAGAAGCTGGCCAACCGGAAGGTATCTCGGCCACAGTTACCTAAGCCGTCCAATACGATATGGTCCAGATAGCACACACCGATCTATCTTGCGGCCGGTTTTCGACCTTTTCCAATTTTTCGCTGAGAAAAACTTAAAAGGACGCACTGCTTATTCTTGCTCATTGAAGCATGTACAAGAAGCTGGCCAACCGAAAGTTATCTCGGCCACAGTTACCTAGACCACCAGATAGGAGATGGTCCAAATAGCACACACCGATCTATCTTGCGGCCGGTTTCCGACATACCTTTTCCGATTTTCCGCTGAAAAAAAACTTAAAAGGATGCATTGTTTATTCTTGCTCATTGAAGCATGTACAAGAAGCTGGCCAACCGGAAGGTATCTCGGCCACAGTTACCTAAGCCGTCCAATATGATATGGTCCAGATAGCACACACCGATCTATCTTGCGGCCGGTTTTCGACCTTTTCCAATTTTTCGCTGAGAAAAACTTAAAAGGACGCACTGCTTATTCTTGCTCATTGAAGCATGTACAAGAAGCTGGCCAACCGAAAGTTATCTCGGCCACAGTTACCTAGACCACCAGATAGGAGATGGTCCAAATAGCACACACCGATCTATCTTGCGGCCGGTTTCCGACATACCTTTTCCGATTTTCCGCTGAAAAAAAACTTAAAAGGATGCACTGTTTATTCTTGCTCATTAAAGCATGTACAAGAAGCTGGCCAACCGGAAGGTATCTCGGCCACAGTTACCTAAGCCGTCCAATATGATATGGTCCAGATAGCACACACAGATCTATCTTGCGGCCGGTTTTCGACCTTTTCCAACTTTTCGCTGAGAAAAACTTAAAAGGACGCACTGCTTATTCTTGCTCATTGAAGCATGTACAAGAAGCTGGCCAACCGAAAGTTATCTCGGCCACAGTTACCTAGACCACCAGATAGGAGATGGTCCAAATAGCACACACCGATCTATCTTGCGGCCGGTTTCCGACATACCTTTTCCGATTTTCCGCTGAAAAAAAACTTAAAAGGATGCACTGTTTATTCTTGCTCATTGAAGCATGTACAAGAAGCTGGCCAACCGGAAGGTATCTCGGCCACAGTTACCTAAGCCGTCCAATATGATGTGGTCCAGATAGCACACACCGATCTATCTTGCGGCCGGTTTTCGACCTTTTCCAATTTTTCGCTGAGAAAAACTTAAAAGGACGCACTGCTTATTCTTGCTCATTGAAGCATGTACAAGAAGCTGGCCAACCGAAAGTTATCTCGGCCACAGTTACCTAGACCACCAGATAGGAGATGGTCCAAATAGCACACACCGATCTATCTTGCGGCCGGTTTCCGACATACCTTTTCCGATTTTCCGCTGAAAAAAACTTAAAAGGATGCACTGTTTATTCTTGCTCATTGAAGCATGTACAAGAAGCTGGCCAACCGGAAGGTATCTCGGCCACAGTTACCTAAGCCGTCCAATATGATATGGTCCAGATAGCACACACCGATCTATCTTGCGGCCGGTTTTCGACCTTTTCCAACTTTCCGCCGAGAAAAACTTAAAAGGACGCACTGCTTATTCTTGCTCATTGAAGCATGTACAAGAAGCCGGCCAACCGAAAGTTATCTCGGCCACAGTTAGCTAGGCCGCCCGATATGAGATGGTCCAGATAGCACACACCGATCTATCTTGCGGCCGGTTTTCGACCTTTTCCAACTTTCCGCCGAGAAAAACTTAAAAGGACGCACTGCTTATTCTTGCTCATTGAAGCATGTACAAGAAGCTGGCCAACCGGAAGTTATCTCGGCCACAGTTACATAGGCCGCCAGATAGGAGATGGTCCAAATAGCACACACCGATCTATCTTGCGGCCGGTTTTCGACATACCTTTTCCGATTTTCCGCTGAGAAAAACTTAAAAGGACGCACTGCTTATTCTTGCTCATTGAAGCGTACAAGAAGCCGGCCAACCGAAAGTTATCTCGGCCACACTTACCTATGCCGCCAGATAGGAGATGGTCCAAATAGCACACACCGATCTATCTTGCGGCCGGTTTTCGACATACCTTTTCCGATTTTCCGCCGAGAAAAACTTAAAAGGACGAACTGCTTATTCTTGTTCATTGAAGCATGTACAAGAAGCTGGCCAACCGGAAGTTTTCTCGGCCACAGTTACATAGGCCGCCAGATAGGAGATGGTCCAAATAGCACACACCGATCTATCTTGCGGCCGGTTTTCGACATACCTTTTCCGATTTTCCGCTGAGAAAAACTTAAAAGGACGAACTGCTTATTCTTGTTCATTGAAGCATGTACAAGAAGCTGGCCAACCGGAAGTTTTCTCGGCCACAGTTACATAGGCCGCCAGATAGGAGATGGTCCAGATAGCACACACCGATCTATCTTGCGGCCGGTTTTCGACATACCTTTTCCGATTTTCCGCTGAGAAAAACTTAAAAGGACGCACTGCTTATTCTTGCTCATTGAAGCGTACAAGAAGCCGGCCAACCGAAAGTTATCTCGGCCACACTTACCTCTGCCGCCAGATAGGAGATGGTCCAAATAGCACACACCGATCTATCTTGCGGCCGGTTTTCGACATACCTTTTCCGATTTTCCGCCGAGAAAAACTTAAAAGGACGAACTGCTTATTCTTGTTCATTGAAGCATGTACAAGAAGCTGGCCAACCGGAAGTTTTCTCGGCCACAGTTACATAGGCCGCCAGATAGGAGATGGTCCAAATAGCACACACCGATCTATCTTGCGGCCGGTTTTCGACATACCTTTTCCGATTTTCCGCCGAGAAAAACTTAAAAGGACGAACTGCTTATTCTTGTTCATTGAAGCATGTACAAGAAGCTGGCCAACCGGAAGTTTTCTCGGCCACAGTTACATAGGCCGCCAGATAGGAGATGGTCCAGATAGCACACACCGATCTATCTTGCGGCCGGTTTTCGACATACCTTTTCCGATTTTCCGCTGAGAAAAACTTAAAAGGACGCACTGCTTATTCTTGCTCATTGAAGCATGTACAAGAAGCCGGCCAACCGAAAGTTATCTCGGCCACAGTTACCTAGGCCGCCCGATATGAGATGGTCCAGATAGCACACACCGATCTATCTTGCGGCCGGTTTTCGACCTTTTCCAACTTTCCGCTGAGAAAAACTTAAAAGGACGCACTGCTTATTCTTGCTCATTGAAGCATGTACAAGAAGCCGGCCAACCGAAAGTTATCTCGGCCACAGTTATCTAGGCCGCCAGATATGAGATGGTCCAGATAGCACACACCAATCTATCTTGCGGCCGGTTTTCGACATACCTTTTCCGATTTTCCGCCGAGAAAAACTTAAAAGGACGCACGGCTTATTCTTGTTCATTGAGGCATGTACAAGAAGCTGGCCAACCGGAAGTTATCTCGGCCACAGTTACCTGCACAGTTACCTAGGCCGCCAGATATGAGATGGTTCAAATAGCACACACCGATCTATCTTGCGGCCCGTTTTCGACATACCTTTTCCGATTTTTCGGCGAGAAAAACTTAAAACGACGCACTGCTTATTCTTGCTCATTGAAGCATGTACAAGAAGCTGGCCAACCGGAAGTTATCTCGGCCACAGTTACCTAGGCCGCCCAATATGAGATGGTCCAGATAGCACACACCGATCTATCTTGCGGTCGGTTTTCGACCTTT